ACGAATATCCACGAAATGTTTCCTACACAGTTCGAGTTACCTCAGTTACCGTTCTTTCACTTTACATGTATCTAATTTACTCGGAAAATGTGAAGAGAAGAGATCACTTAGAAGACCTAGGAGGTGAGAGGATAATTCGAAAAGTCATGGGAAGAACTAATCACCCAAGTCCAAGTCCGGGTCCGGTAAATTGCTGCTGACTCTCTCCAGCACAGTCGTTCTTAGTTTCGGGACTCCTCTCCGGCGAGAGGAGGGGTTGAATGAATGACTGTATAAGGGGTGGGCTTTCTTGGCCCTTGCACCGCGACTACAGTGATCTATTGTTCCTGAGAGGAGGAGTTAGTCTTTACTTTCAGTACGTACTGAGTATTTGATACAACACGGACCGCATAGAAAACACTGTGTCGAACAACAATTATATTTTTGCCCGGGATCGTGCTCACCGAACCTCTGCCTAGCAACGATAGGGGGATACACAGATAGACAGACAGCAAGATGATCTCATAAGGCTACTTCTGTTTATTCGAAATAAGGAAAATAGGTTAAAAATAAATTGTAAGAAACACAGTATAGGGATGTGAACTGAATTAATCTGGCTCAAAACAAGGTCAGTGTCCCAACAAGGACCAAACCAGGAAGTTATATATTCCCTGTCGGGAATCGAACTCCAGCCGTTCAGAACGTAGCCCGTCGCTATACCGACTGAGCTATCCCGACTTTGATAGTTAGGTCTCAGAAACGGTAGTCACTGGGAATCAAATNGTTCAGAACGTAGCCCGTCGCTATACCGACTGAGCTATCCCGACTTCGATAGTTACTTGAAAGGAACCTGGGTTATCACCAAAATGGTAATCTCTGGAAAGGAAACTTGGTGCGTCCCGGAATTTTCACTCATTGGAAAGGTAACACGCTAGGTCACAGAAACGGTAGTCACTGGGAATCAAAATGGACGAGTCCCAGAACAAGTTACTGGAACTGAGGGGGCGGGTCAACTGGAAGGGTAGATGTGACGGCTGTTCTAAAAAAAGGTAGCGTTCCCATAACGAGTCGAACTCTTGCCCCCAGATTCGGAGTCCTTCGCTTTATTGATTGCTGTTGACAGAAGTAGTCTATATCCGCTGGATTTGAATTTCTCATAGCAGTAACTATGCAGAGTACTACCTTTGGAATGTAAAGCCTTCTAGTCCGGTAGAAATTTATCGACGTCTAGGAGCGTCTAGGAGGACCGGTGCTACCTCCATCTTCAGGATCAAAGATAAGTCGAATAATATATCAGCAAGAAGAGGACGGAAAGCAGGATCTCCGCAGCTTGGTCCTCCATAACGACGGTGTACTTCCACCGGCCTCCATGGCGTTGTATTCCAGAAGAAAGTTCACTTCATAGTACATACACGCTAAAGGTAAAGCTATCCCTGTAACAGGCCGTGGAAGCCCATGAGTTTGTGAGACGTCAAAGTTCCCACATTTTGTAGACAATCGGCTCACAGACGGAGGTGAAGTTGTTAGCCTTACGGGCCGGCCGTCCTTTACCCTCAGGAAGATTCCTGGTACTCATTTCTTTTATAGATCGAATCGACCCCAGAGCTGGAAGGAGGAGATAAATTGAAAAAAAAAAAACAAAGATATCATAGGGAATCGAACCCGCGACCTTCCGGCTTGTAGCATAGAATCTATACACGATGTTAAGTAAAACATTAAAAGTAATTTCAGAGTAGGTTTTGACAAAATGATAACCATATTTCGTCGCGTTTGCTGGTTCGTTCAGTTCTTAAATTAATTTCGTCCGCCGGCCTACGAAATGTGTAGATTCCATCAAAATATTCTTTTTCTTCTGTTGGGTAGTAATCAGTTTTTACTCTGCTTCTTTCCGTGGCTGATTTAAAACATTTCCATCAGTGTTGATTAATCGGTTATTCCGCATGCTCTGGTTGCAGTGGATGGTCACGCAGAATGTGCATAATCATTCTTTTTATTGCTAGTGGGGTGGGACTAAGTCCCTTGTACTGTGGCCACTTCTGGCCTGTTGTACCAACCCTAGATGATAGGTGAGGGTGATTGTGGAGCAATTGGTGGAATGAAGATTGGCAGGAGGAACCGAAGTACTCGGAGAAAACTTGTACCAGCGCCGCTTTGTCCACCACAAATCCCACTTGACCAGACCCGGGATCGAACCCGGGCCGCCGCGGTGGGAAGCCAGTGACTAGCCGCTTGAGCTATGGCGCGGCCTGCATCGTCCTTAATACAACTCGTCTGCCATCCTGTGAATCTTTCCATCCATCAGCAACATTCTCTTCTGACTCATACTCTTACGTTCCATTTCCCAAAACTCAACTCTTCGAAGACTGAAGTTCGACTAAATAATATTTAAATTCGAGACACGTGGTAGCGTAGTTGTGTGAGGCACTATGCTGTAAGTAGGAAGGTCGCTTGAGTCCCAAGGAGGTGGATTTTTTCAATGGACCTAATCCTTCCAGCTGCACTATGGCCCTGTGATCGGCTAAGACTAACACAAATGAGTACCAGGAAATTTCCATTTCATGCATCCTGTTGTGTTATAATATACAATTTCTTTATTAAAACCGTCACAACAAACCTATATTAAGGTCAGTGCCTAGTTTTGCTCTGCTACATGTTTCGGCTACTAAAAGCCGTCATCACGCAAATACATGGCCAACATATGTACACGTATATATACAGTATATACCACTGAATTGCAGTACTAGTAAAATTGGGTAAAATAATGTTAATTACATTAAAATACTTGGCGTAAAAATACAATAAATTAGACTATATATAATGAAAGACATAGCATAAAACAAGATTAAAATTCTTCAAGTGATGCCTTACATCATTGAGTCAGTTGTTGGTTTTTGCGATTTTTTTGTGTTCCCACAGACAAATTGGAGTATTCTATATTTTCTTATGTATATATAATAAACTGTTTTGGAGGCTCGTGATGGAGCTGTAGTAATATAATGTTAATTATTTAGGCGGTGCCTCATCTTACAAAGTATGTCCGTTCTGTAAGGAATGTAAACAATTTTAGTAGCCGAAACATGTAGCAGAGCCAAACGAGGCACTGACCTTAATAAAGTTGTGTTATGGAGGTTTTAATAAAGAAATTGAGTACCAGGAAATTTAAGGGGTGGGGGGTAAAGGAAGGCTGACACGTGAGGCTGGCAAACTTACCGCCATCTGTGAGCCGATTGTCTAGAACAAATGTGGAAGCCTCGACGTCTCGCAACCCTATGGGCCCGCTACAGGGACAGCTATTTTTACATATATTTAAATTCAATTCGTGCCACGGAGAAAACATAATGTAAAAAACTTAACATCTCTTATTACAAGTGGCAGTCAATTACCATTTAACTAATTAACTAGAGCGGAGTCCTAGTTAGCCGATCACAGTGGCCGCGCGTCCTAAGGCATGAACTGTCTTCGTCCGCTCAAACAATGGGATCGTGGGTTCGAATCCCATTTGAGGCATGGATGTCTGAATTGTGTGCATTTATTCTGTGTTTGTATTGTTCTCTGTGCAGGTAGCGGCCTTGCGACGGGCTGATCCCAGTCCAAGGNTAAAAGAACAAGCATTGAAATATATTGAGACACGAAGGCTCAGAGCCATAAGAGAATTCAACTGCTCCGTAAACACGTTCTCACTGTAACGGATGCTTACCTATCAGTATAGGAACTAAGATCTAAAAGTCTGTGACGATAGTACAGTAGTACAAATATTACGTTTCTGGGCGTCACTCATCGTTCTGTTTATATTTCGAAACACTGTTTCGAAGACTGGATTCTGTCTCCGTCTTCAGGTAAAACCTACTCAGTTGGGTTCAGTCGCTAGAGCTAGTCACTATTCCCAGACACCTATATCAGCACCAAGATAGGGTATACAAGCCAAGCACAGTGTATCATCGGCGAGAGTTAAGACAAACATTAAAAGCAGTAAAATAAATTTTACACACGTGAAGCCTAGCACCTATGTCCATGCAATATTTCACGGATATTTTGTTAAAGTCACAGCACTATCAGAAAAGAAGACATCACTAAAGAGACAAATTCTCTGCACAGTACCAACATAAAAACACAGTTTTCACACTTAATCTTCACTGGACGGAGTTGTAGTTTTTTCTCCTGCTGTGGTAACGGGAGTCCGTATAGAAGAGATGGCCAAAATGGGTTGACTGATAGGATGGTCCAGCAGAGCTATGAGGACGGATTCCTTATACTATTTCCTGTATGTGGTGTTTGGTTCAATCTGCAGATTGACTACTAGGCACATCCAGAATACAAATCTGAAGTATTACCACGACACCAACCTACTCTGTGAACAGCAGTCCCATTTAGCTTTGTCCATATGTAATGTAAAGTTTGAGATTACCACGGCAGCGACTATGAAGACAGCAGTCTTTTGGGATGTGGCGCAATGTAGATATTGTGTTAACCGACGTTTCGGAGGAACGTATCGCCTCCATCTTCAGGGTAGAAGACAAGATGAAATACGCGAGCGAACCAGCGTGAGCAGGTGCAAATGTGAGCCCATCTGGGTAGTTTGTATCTCGGTCATCAATCTCGGCTGAGTCACTGCTCTAACTGAGCTATCTCTGTCCCGAACTCATTGTACAACATTAAATTAAGTAAACGAAATAATTATATCTCTAGTACTAAGTTCAGTCGATTCGTTTTAGATATTTTGACTACGTATAATTACATGGAGTGATGTCAGTATATCTTTCCGTTTAAACTCATGATCTACAGCTGCGCTTGCCCTGTTGCTCAGCAGTTCGAAATTTGCCCTCAAGAAGCGTTAATGTGCTTCAAAGTCAATAATTTCTCTTGCTTCTCCCTGAGAGGTAATCAGATCATCCCTGTACCACTAAGATGAAGACATGGGTCAATTCATTATTCAAGGATAGTCGGAAATTATGTTCGTTCTTCTTCTGCTGCTGATTTGCAGAAATTTGAACTTTTCAGCAGTACCTGTTCCGGTACTGACGTTTCTGTCACGCTATGGATGTACTGCGCAAAATCATTAATCGTACGGCTACTGTTTTTAGCGCGTATTTCAGAATTTTCACACCAGAGGTCAGGACTTGAAAAAGTAATTTTGGCAACCATGAAGATGGCTGATGGTTCGACTATTTTGAGAAGAAACCGGCCCGGTACTAAAGCAAAGGTAATATTAAGATATCGAACATTTTATATTATGATTAAAACCTCACCAATTTTGGTTAATAAGATCATACAATGGAGGGTATAATGTCTGCATGTGCAATTGCTTGTCCATAAGTTTTGGTCTGCTATGCTGTCAGTGACTAACATTCGTTCACGGGATAAACCCATTGTCGTTATAACCAGATATGTTTCCAATAGGACTTCAGTCGCTGGCCCGATGAACCATTTGAAGAAATGGATAGCACACTTGCTGTTCAACAGTATATTCAACAACAAATACGACGCGAACCAGCAAACATTGATGTAATATTAACTCCTCCAGATGCACAGGATGAGGGAGTATGGAAATACGAACATCTGAGGTAAAGACAGATTTAAAACCTCATTAAAAGCCGATTTAAACCACTTTCCCAACCTTAATTAAGACTATCGAATTATGAAGGGTTTATTACTAAATCTGACAGTGTGAGGTTAGACCTGAATGTAATGGTTTGTTCCTATAACCAAGTGAATGGGAATAGTTGGATAACAACAGCCAGATGCTATGAACAGAATTTGCATATACCTGATACAAGAGATGAGATAAAATTATTAATAAGCAGTATTAACAATAAGGCATTTCCTTGGTGCTAAAATAGCAGCATTAGTAATTCAGATCAGTGATGACAGGAATGGTTAAAGAAATGCCAGCAGCTATAATCATTTTGAAATACAAAGTGAAATACAGTCCAAGAGTTCTATCTCCTGGAATATAACGCCATGTAATCAATTGAAAGTCAGACATATCAGAGGAATATATTATCTGCCTCATCAGCATTGAAGAATGAGCCACGCAAGAAACCAGTATGAAACAGACAGCAGGCAAATGTACTTAGTGACATTGCTCACTCACTCTGAAGCAACTGTCTGACAAGCTTGAAACTTAAACTGAGCACACCTAGAATAGATTCCTGAAGTATGCATACATCTGGTCACTTGTACTTTGTGCCACCAAGATCACTTGACCAACAGATGTTGCATATATTATAAAATGCATTCCAGCCAGAGTTTTTCACTAAAACATTTTTTATTTGCCTTATGCTTGTGATGTAATATAATACTTCTCTTTTTATTATAATTATATAATACTGAAGTAGTTTTCATTAGGTGACAAACCACAGAATGAAATAGTTTCCAATCCCTGTCTCATACATACATGTATACAGAAAGTACCATTTTAGTTGCAGTCTGTTTTACCATAGATTTCAATGAAACCACTGAATTCTTAATCATTTGGTGATGATGTGACCACAAACATTGGACAGCCAAGTTCAACTGTGTAAGGGAGTATACCACTTCGGCCATATACAGTCTATCTGTATCCTTTTTTGGCATATTTCAACTTTCTAGTAGGGGAAAAATATACACTAATAGCCTTTAATTAAGTAATCTCCTCTAGCACCTTACAGTATAGAACATGGCTGTTTCCTTACCATTTGATGTCACCATATTACTGTTTTCCCAGAGGTCCAGGATGTTAGTTATAATATACATACATATATATTCTTCTGTCGATCTCCCACAGCAGTGATTATGAAGTTCATTAATGGATTTTAATTGGTGGTTGGTTCACAAGTTGTTCGGTGAAGCTACTGTCACATGTAAGATGAGATGAGAAAATGTTTCTATACTGAACTGGGAAAAACTAGTTATGGTCTATGCCATTACCTTGAAAGAAGCAGCAGTAGTTTGAAGAAAACTCAAAAGGCACAATAGCCATGACCCTAAAGTACTCTCTCTCTCTCTCTCTCTCTATATATATATATATATATACACACACACACACACTGAATCACAAGCTAACGAATTTGTGTGGGTGTAGACAAATACCACACATGGTATTAAATTTCATCTGTAAAAGGAGGGACTAGAGTTATTCCACCCTACCAATTACTTAATGAAAAGAGATCTAAAATAGAACCCTTTCATCATCATCATCAGTAATCTGTCAAGACGACAGGTCCACAGTCTCTTCCAAAACAATTCCTCCATTTAATGCGATCTAGAGCTTTCTCCTTCAAATGACAGTATCCTCTTCTGTCCGCAAGGTCATCCAGCATCTTCTTACGTTTTCTTCCTCGTCTTCTTGTCACTNTATCCGCCCCTCTATCTTTCCTTCGATAACTTCTTTTAGAAGGCAGTTTCTGCATAAAACATGACCAATCCAATTAGCCTTCCGTTTTCTTATTTCGTGTAGGATATTCCTCTGCTCACCGACTCTAATTAACACTTCCTCATTTCTCACATAATCGGTCCAACTGATCTTCTCCATCCTTCTCCAACACCACATTTCATGTTACTGATAAAGAACCCTTTATCAGTAACATTTAGTAATATAGAATGATTTGATTACACCATCCAGTGTGATTAAAAAATGTTGCCTTTATATGTTTCGGTCAATTAATGATCATCTTCAGAAGGCAAATAACACTTGAGGAAACTACTGTTACATAAATCATAGTACATCAAGTCCAAAGTTTTATATATAAAGATTTTAAAATAAGCTAAAATGTGGTGAGTTAAAATATAAATAAAATTCTTAATATTTAAAATCTGAAACCACTAAGGTTCATGTCTTTGTGCACCTTCTATCAATGGGAGATTGGGTAGATTTTCACCCTTGAAGGTCTGGGCAGTGTTTTTAGTAATCAGTAATTATTGAGACATGCTTTGTCTGGTGATATTTTTTTAAAATGTAGAACATGACAGTTTGTGATACAAGTGGATAAAATGTTGCCTTGCTTATGACACTGTTCATGTCTTGCTTCTAGGCAATTCTGCATGGAACTGAATGGTCTGGCTGTACGACTTCAAAGTGAATGTCATCCAGAGACATGCACTCAAATGACAGCAACTGAACAATGGATATTTCTATGCGCAGCACACAAAACACCCAAAGAATGCCCAGCAATCGACTATACACGACACACATTAGATGGAGCAGCATGCTTATTAAACAGCAATAAATATTTTCCTAGCAGGTTAGAACCAACTTGTAGGGTCTTCCTTTAAAGTTGAAATTTATTCAGCTGGTCAGAAAGAAATCAGTTTTTACAGAACATGAAAGCATATCGCCATGTTCACATAAACCAATCATCTGACACTATCCTAAGCCCGGTTAATCCAGTCCTCACAGTCACATTCTGCATCTCATAACGTCATTTTAATATTATCCACCAAACTGCACACATCTATATTTAAAATTAAGAATTTCTGGCTCTTCATACAGCAGTGCTTTCTGAAAGAAAGAAAGAGAAATAAAAGAACTTGTATGGTCTGTACTGAAGTACTTCAGATCAGACCAGTGATTGCTGTGGAACAGAACGGTGCATAATTTTTGCAGAAGACAGAAAATAATAACAAGATGCTCTCTTCAGCAAATCTATTTAAATGTTTTCACTTTGTCATGTTTTAGGGAAGACTATAGAATTCTGGAACATTTTCTCCCCCTAAAATACACCATTCAGATGTAACCCATTTGAAGCAGTCTCTTCCAAAATTAATACAGTGATTTCATTTGTCTTGTCATTTGTTGAAACACTGCTGTTTCTCTTCTTTTGGATATCCAGCAATTTCCAGAAGCTCCCTTCTGGGAGATTCTGAGCCATTAGGCATGAAGTCCAGTGAGTAAAGTGGACTGCTAGTGAGTGGAATGTTCTTAGTCAAGAATCCTCACAGAGTGCAAAGTGAGCTGGTGCACTGTCGTGATTCACAAACCCCACTTCCACTGAATCTCATCTTTTGTATGTTTCAGAACATCCAAACAAGACATATGATTGTCCTGTTGTTACGAATTTTGTTACCAGTGTGACAAGTTTCCTTGATATGTGATGATAGTGGATAAATTGTGTCCTTTTTTTATCAGGTGAACCACTCAAATGTTTCTGTGTCTGAGAGTTTTCTCTTCATTACAAATCAGTGACTTCCAGTTAGGGCACAGTCAGAAACATGTCACCATCTGTGATTTACTGTCTGTTAATGATATATAGTAAAGTAAATCTTGGAATTTTGCTATCAACCCTTTCACNGTTAGGGCACAGTCAGAAACATGTCACCATCTGTGATTTACTGTCTATTACTGATATATATATCATACCAAGTGGTGTGACTAGAGGTTTATGCATGCTTAATGTCTTGATTGTCTTACTGAATTGGGCTCTTCTTACATTTTTCTGAAACTGAGGTACACTAATCACAACTTATTTCTTTCCTCTTTAGAACATACAATTCAGGTTCATCTGCTTCTGTCTTAAAATTAAACAAAGATAATCTGGTGCCTTGAATTTCAGAAGCTTAGACATGTGTGTACTCTATGAAATGTATAATAATGTATTTTAATTAATTTCCAGAGTGAGTATTAAAGAGTCGTCAGTGGCGAAGTTGGGTTCTGTTTGTCGGAGAGTGTATCGAATATTTTCTCATGCATATTTTCATCATCGGACAATATTTGATGAATTTGAGGTAATGCTATAATCTGAAATTTATCACATGCACATGTGGGTCTGTGAAAGAGAGATAAATTTTGTATTTATATATATTTTATGCACACACACACACGGGGAAATTATCTGAGCAAGGGGCTGAGTCTTTTAGCTGGTCTGGCAGGAGTGACACACTACTCTGAAACGCTTGTCTGACACATTTACTTATGGTGCAGTCAGAAGACCAGTAGCCTATACACATTACGATTTCTATTCAATATTGTCCCAATAATCTTTGAATAACTACTGTGATGCAAACTTTTCCATGGTGCTGCCCATCAGTCATGAACTTAAACTCCTGCTACCATTTTAATCGTTTCTTGCATCCTATTGCGTGTTTAATTAATAGTAGAGTGAATTTACCGACTACACAACACGTTTTTTATTATCACTACATGTTTCGACCTCAAAAGGTCATCCTCAGGTGTATGAACATGGCTGTATAATTACAAGCGGTCACATTCACTTTTCACTCATTAGACCCTGTATCTTGTCCAGATTTATGCTCACTAATATATCAGGTTCTTTTATAAAACACAGGTCACGACAACGATCATAACAGATCCAGCAGCATCAAAGAACGCGGAAGAACAGCGAGACCTCACAAACAAGTGAAAGTGCAGCCAATAACATAAGTTGAACTTTAAACCAATAATAATAATTAAACTAGTTAAAAGAGAACTAGACACAGTTGTGAGCGTACGTAAAATGAGACTATAAACAACAAGTGAAAGTGTAACCAGTGACATGAATTGAACTTTGATTCAGGAACTTTTAACAATTAAATTAGAATAATAATTTTAACCCGTGTTTTATAAAAGAACTCGATATATTAGTGGGCGTAAATCTGGACAAGATACAGGGTCGAATGTGTGAAAAGTGAATGTGACCACGTGTAATTATACAGCCGTGTTCATACATCTGAGGATGACTTCTTGAGGTTGAAACATGTAGTGATAATAAAAAACGTGTTGTGTAGTCGGTAAATTCACTCTACTATTCCTGCTACCATATTAAACATTCACTTAGTTCTTGTGTTGAAATGGCATGTGAATGTTAACATGGAAATGAGTGTTCGTGCACAGTAGTACACGTGTAAGGGGAACATTCTGGCAAAAATTTTAATGTTACTGTTCCAGACAGAAAAAAAATATTTGTACAGTTGTAAATAAATTTACACAGACACGATGTTTATTGGCCAGAATGCGCTAAATCAAAATGCTGAAGTTTCACTGAAGAGAAACTGGATGAAGTCAGTACTAGGCATGAACTCCTTCCACAGGAGACTGGGGTTTGCTGTTTGTCCAAAAAGGGATTTTAGTGCTTGTAAGTGAATATGGAGGTGCAGGGACAGTCTCTGGCATCTGCTATGATCTGCATGGTTTGGTTTGTGACTGAGGGGTCTTACTGTTTGCACTGCAGGTTGAAACACATGCAGAAAAGAACTGAAACAAGTAGCTGGTCTGTCTTCCATTGGACTAGTCGAATGATTTTCAGCAGGCTTTTAAGTTACTTCCTAGTGTAATATTACTTTTTACAAGTTTTTGAACATCACAAGTGACAACTATTATGATAGAAACAATTCACATGAACTAGATGTAGAAGTTTAACTAACACTTAATAGCATACTAAGGCAAGACTTTTTTCCTTACTTTCCCTATCTCATAGAAAACACTGGGTCATAGTGCCATTATATCTTTGTGTGTCTCTCTGGCCATCCTCCTAGTGACATTTGAACTTAAATTTTCATAGTACTTAATTATGAGTGTAATGCAATTAAAGGAGCACCCCTATGTTATTTTCTCATCCAGTAACACCAATAATATAAATATTTGATGCTTTATTATGGACAGACAAGCAATGGAATGGTAGAATGCCAGTCACACTAAAGATATATTTATGCATTATTTGGAAATGCCCTTAAAAACTAGAGAATATTTTTACATTTTTCTACATTAGAATAAAGTGTGTGAGTAAGAAGCTACCTAAAGCCCCTTTTGTGCTACTGCCAGCCTCATCCTCATATGGTGCACTTTACTAACAAGGACGGACTTAGCATCTAAGCCAGATTTTGTACCTGGTGTGGAGGAAATGTCTGTCTAAATAAAGATGGTTTGGCAGTACTCGTACATTTTGTTTCAGAAGATTAATGGATGACAGTTTTCTGAATGGTAATGCGCACATGTTACAAAAATGTATATGCCTTCTGGACATAAATATTTCTATATACAGAGGTTGGACAAAATAATGGAAGCACTACAGAGATACTACACACATTTCTTTATCAATATGGCATTGCACCACCTTTTGCCTTCTTGGAATGGACTTGTACAAGGTTTGAACAATCTAGTTGAATTTTATATAATTCTTCCCGAAGAACATCTTCAACTTGCTTTAGAGATGTTGGAGGTGGGAAACTATTCCTCATTCTAGTCTCCAAGGCTAACCACAGGGGTTCAGTAATGTTCAAAACTGGTGACTGTGCTAGTCAGGGAAGATGTTTACCTTCATGACTGCACAGTTCCAGCTGTGAATGGGGACAATTTCATCTTGGAAAACAGCGTTTTTGTGTGGAAATAACATCTGGATGAAGGGGATACACCTGATTACCCAACCTTGCAATAATTCAGCCATGAAGGGTAATAATGAAACCAACAGAATACTGTACCACGATATTGCTGCCCCAACCATCACAGAACTTCCTTAGTGTTTCCTGTTGGAACCAGACATTCCAGATTGTAGGCTTCCTTGGGTGTTTTCCAAACATAAACCATTCTTCCGGGTTGTCTTAATGTCCACGTTTTATGGTTGTAACACCATCGTTTACACATCTGAGCATTACTTTCAGTAATCAGAGGTGTAGCAATTGCACCCTACTGTAGATACGGTCTTCAAGATGAATATTCATTTCTGTTGATGCCTGTGCTGCAGTAGTTATGTGATTTTTTGGAAAAGTCTCAATGTACAACTATCTCTTTCTGTCAATGTTGATGATTTTTGCCCACTGTTCCGCTTTGCTAATGTCTTTCCATGATGCATGTATGCAGACATAATCTTACAAACTCTTGCTCTTGATACACCTAATGATATGGCAGTTTTTATAGCAGATGCTCCAGCTAAATGAGCACCAGTGATCTGTCCTCTTTCATAATCGGACAACTCTCCCATTTTCCGATTCTTTCACTTGCACTGTCATTCAACACAAGCACTAATGCACTGACACGAGCACTACATGGTGTAAATACGTGGAAAATTCATTGTGGCCAAATGAAGTTCTTTTCAGTGTAGCCAACACTAATTTTATTCCACAATTTCTTAGTATTTCCATTATTTTGTCAACCCCCTGTACTTGTTCAACATGGACAATAACTGAAAGAAGTACATTAAGTACACAAATGACTTGCCTTAAGTAATTTAACACAGTTAAATGATGGCAAATTTCCTTTATGACAGTCGTAAAATATGGGTACCTAGAATTTCACTGTATGAAAGTTTTATTGTCTTTATACAAATATATATGCACACAGACACATTTTTCTTGCCTTGGTGTATACAAATTAATTAACTGTGCTGTCATTGATATTACTAATGCTAAATGGGTACCTGTTATCCTAACGTATCACATAGACCATGATTGTTTCTGTGCTAGGTCACATAATCACCAACTTATTCTTGTCACAGTAGTATAATTAGTTAGAATTAATTTAAAAAAGGTTTTTGTATTTGCAGTATACATACAGTTTTAAATCACTGTTCCAGAATGAAACGTATCTGTGCCGGCGATTCACAGCTTTCGTCACCAAGTACAACCTCATGTCCAAGGATAACCTCATTGTGCCCATCATGGAGGAGGAGGGCTCGGGGGAGACAGATGCATAAACACCAACAGCACTCTGTGATGAATGAACTGCTCTTGCAACCACAGTGGGCATATCCGTTACACACAGAAACTGGAAGAGCAAGTAACTGGATTGTGCCATTAAAGAGACGGAATGCAACTGCCCTACACACAAGTTTTCCATAGTGTGATGTCATCCCAAAGCTGCACATTTTATTTGGAAAGAATCTTTTCATTAAAACTTATAACAGGTACTTTTAAAGTTGTAGGGAATAGAAATCATTTGTAAAACAGATTTCTTCTTTGAGCATCTCTTGCCTGTTTCAGTTGAATGGTATTACAGGTGTTCTATCCAACAAGATATATAGCGTTGCACATGTCAGTCATCAATTATCCTTCTAAAACCATTCAAAACGATGCAGTAGGCCAGTGGGAAATGCATGGAGAAAGGATAATTGCAAGATGGGATCATACTGGTGAGGCTTAAGTTCACAGAAAAATCATACTTAGTAATTCAACAACAAAATGGGTCATATTCTTGACTTTCAAATTATTAATATTATAACACTTTACTCATAGATTAAATTTATATTATTTGGACAATGTTATTAAAGTAGTGGTGGGAAGTTACAATAAAATACAACAATCCCTTGCCAACTGCACAGGTTTACATTCCTCAAAAATGTTGTGGACGGCAAGAGCAAGGTTTGACATGAAACTGTGGGTGCTGCTATCACTCATCAAAACTGAAGTGGTCTGCACAGTAAAATACGTAAGACAGAGTTTCGCAGAAATTTACAGAAATGACGATCCTGAAGCTAGAAAACAATGCAGCCCTTCCCATAGCTAATATATTTCTTGGCATGGAAGAGACACATTTGTGTTCAGAACTAGAAACCAGAGAAGAAAAGAATACCATAACTGGCAAAACTAGATAAAACTGGCAAACTCAAGCTTGTGAAAGACTGTTATCTTCAATTTAAATGTCACAATACTACAGGGAGATCATTTCAGAGCTGCAGGGAATTATTCAGCCCATCAGGCAAGAAAGCAGCACACTTCTCCCATCAGCTGAGCTCACATGGGTGTAGACTTCTGGCATAGCTGCCAGGCCAACAGACTGTAAACATTAACAGTTCCTCTTCAATATCACCCAATGAATGTATAAGGGGTGGCCCTTCTCAGCCCTTGCACTGCAACCTACAGTGGTTTGTTGTGCTTAATATCACCCAATAAACCACTGAACACCTATCAAATGCAGTGTGTGCTGGTTTACTATAAATGTGAGCCCCCGATACTGTATTAAAAAATTCAAGCAGTCAGTTATTTCTTGTGTCAAAATATCAGATGTGAGTTACTTATTGAAACAGCAATTGTTCATGAAAAATAAAAATATCCATATAGTAAAAAATAACTTAACCCTTTGAGCACCAAGTCCATCTGTGGAGCTACCTGCTAGAAATGCCACGACTGGTAATAAAACGCAGCTGCACAGCAAAACCCACAATACTTTCCTCATAAATATTTCATATGAAAGTTCATTCTTTCATCTAAACATGGTTGTCATGCTACTGCAGGGAGTCTATCTCCTTCCTGGGCAGCCCAGCAATTTTCAGCATGCTCCAAAGATGATTTTCCTTCACGTGTACATATATATATTATATTATTTATCAAACTCAGTTTTATATTAATCTGTTCATGGTTCTCATAATTACTTATATAGTTATTTAAAACACTGCCTGGAATTGTAAATTAATAAACACTATCCATAGAATGGTGATTTTTTTTCTTACCCATTTAATCATGTGTGAAACATACAACCTTTTGTAACAGCACCTCTACGTCTGTACCACATTCCAGCTCTTCTTGTTAAAATCACATAACTGCACAGTATCCATAGCACAGAAATTTACAAAATCACGCTATGTTTGAAGGATTGAATTCTTCATGAATAGACAAATTAAAAGAAGCACCACCACAAACTTGTTCTTTTTAATTTTCTTGACTAGTTCATCACAAGGCAATGCATCCATACAACATGGAAATGCTGGGTGTGTCTTAAGGAAGTATCATCAGTTCTTCACTTTCAGGTTCATCTTTAGACTCTTCCTTTATTGAAGTGTCTGGAATGTCTACATGTGCAATTGGTTCCAACATCTGTTTCTGTTTGCCTGATGTCCGCTTATGCCCTGTTCCTGTTCGTAAACCCATTGCAGCAAACTGCTCCGCTGACACACCAGCCTTCACACTCTTCCGAGCTGTTGGCCCAAAACGTTTATTTTTTTCAGTTCCTTCACTTGATTTCCAAAAGGTATCATATGCTCCAGGAGCCTGGTACCTAATGATGAAAGAAAGTTTTAAAAATTAAATATAAAACTGGCAGCGAATGACAGATGAAGATTTTCATCACATTCCAAGTGAAATGACAAAACTGAATTACTCTAGACACAGATCTACAGGCTCAAGAATTAAGTTACTGTACATGTTGGCGCACAAAACAATCCGGTATTTGATTTACTATTAATTAGTCAACCATGCAATGAACGATGTTTTTAAAAGGGTAACACAGCTGATCATGGAGATTGGTCCTTACTCTTCTTGCTCTGTTTCTGCTTATGCGCCAGTTTACATAAGATGGCTGACAAAGTGAGAATGACGGTAGAACACATAAAAACAGTGTTGTTCTTTACTGAAACAAATAGTGTCGTGGTCACACAGAGGCCGCTTCATGCCCATTTTCAAACATGATGGATGCCTTCATTCAAAACAATTCATAAATTTTAAAACCAGTTTAATAATGATAGTTCAATGTTGGAAACTTCATCAGCCTTCATCTGTGCGTTCTCCAGAGAACACTGACACTGCAAAGCCCCACTAAATCAACAAGGAAGGCTGCAGCACAACTAGGGATATACAGATGATCGGTTCAACGAAGAGATTTTATTAATAAATCAAATACTTCGTCAATTTGTGTGCCATCCTGTACTACCTAAAATCAGACAACTTAAAGGCCATCAATGGTTTGTGCTGTAAAACCATTCTTCCTATATGACAGCTGTACTTCATCCACATTATGGCCCTGGCGTCGAATCAGCCTCTAACAGAAATAAGTACCAGGAATCTTCCTGGGGGGCAAAGGGTGGCTGGCTCGTAAGGCTGACAACCTTACCGCCATCTGTGATCCGACCGTCTAGAGAAAATGTGGGAGCCCTGACATGCCACAACCCTATGGGCCTTCACAGCTTCTTGCAGATACAGGTTTACCTTTCAATGGTCCAGGCAATAAAATTTTGCTGCTTTAGTGCTTATCTATCTCCTTTAAAAAACATAGTTGCTTATCCATTCTTGATACTGTTAGTACCTACCAGGTTAATCTCTCAAATGTGTTTTTGCAGCAAATGTGGTCTGTGGATACAAACAAGGAACCGGAAGTTCCTAGACTTCAGATATAATTTTTAGTAAACTCCCTTTACTCGTAAAGAGGGAGCATGGTTATCCCAAAAGACTAAATTATGGAAACTTGTAGATCCTTCCTAGTATTTATATTTTTAACAGGAAGTTCATTTTGTCAACTAATATTAATGAATTATTAACAATGTGTGTATTATTTTATAAGGTTTGCTTGTTCAGCTTGTTATTTTTAATCATGTAATTTTTAGTATCTTATTGTGTTTCTCCTATTCTGTTAATGCATGATTACATCTTTGTTTTCGTTTGCAGTGCTTTATAGCTGGTGTCAAGCACTGCAATAAATAAACTGAATTATCATCATGATTAGTAAACCTTTATTACTTTCGTCTGTACTCCTCCACTGGTGGCACAAATATTTCTGTGTCTGATGTAGAATTGAAAACTTCACTGCACACCCTCTGAACTGTTCGCCGGTGTACCCCACAAGCTTTAGCTGTCAACTCTTGGGCTTTGTGAAAATTTATACTTTCGGCTTCTTCTGGGTTTTCTGACAGATTTTTGAAAAATGTATATACATTGTAAATTATACGCTTATTTTGTCTCTGGATGTTTGACTTTCCTGACCTACCCCTCTTCACTGGCATTTTTGACGCCGTTGAATAATTTGACGCTTTATTCACGTCCATCTTGAACACATTCACACTCTGCTATATTTCTTTTGAGGAATATAACAATTTGGATGAAGAACTGTTAAAACCATAACGAATCAATCGAGAAGCAACGATTTTCAAAAATAAAAAGACTCGTGCAAAATGAAACAGTAACACCGCCACACCAGTGTCTAGACCGCCTAGATGACAAATAAAGCCCATCTTCCGACAGCGATCTTGACACACCTGTCACTGTTGGCTGCCTGCTGGACGAAAAGCCATCTGTCCTTGAGCCGCCTACTACCAACATTTTGACTACGTAATTTCCTACAAAAATATCGTGCCAGTTGAAACTGGTAATGCTGGCTGAAGTTACGCAATTAATGTGATAAACAACCTAAATTTGCCTCAACACTATGCTGTAACACAAGTTCAAAATTTATACGAAACTTAAGCAATCAAAGTGATACTGCAACATTTCTATGTTGGGCATTACGCCACTTCGCATCCTTTTGACAGTGCCACTCAATCACGTGTACTTTCAGCACCGTAGAACCAAAGAATCATTTGATTAAGGTAGTTTCTTATTATTTTCAAATAACTACCATGCTGCGTCTCACTTCGATTATCGCCGATAAAGTGGAACCCTGAGAAATATTCGTCTCTAGCACCTGACAACTGAAAACTTCAAACCGCATCTCTTTGACACTATCATTACCGATCATAACACGGACCATGTTTCGGTATACATACACCAGCCGCGCGATAATAGAAACTGTAATAAAACATAATGCCAGTGCTGCCATTCTAAAATCCGCGCTTTTATGTTTCGGTTCAGTGAAGTTGGGTATTTCATACCGATCTATGCAAGGTATATCTTATTCTGATGTTGGCTATCGTGTATAAATATTATAAGCTGACTACTCTTAGAACCTCTAGAACTGTATTAAGAACAGAAGAGTGGCTATGAAATGTTTTAGGTTAGAAGTGAAGTGTTAATTTTCTAAACCTTGATTAAGTATGTCCTCAGGAGGAACATTCAAAGTGCCGAGACTCTACAAAGCGGCAGCCAAAGTCGCAAGAGCTGTGAAAGAGCAGAATGGAAATGTGGAACAACTGGTACAGCTGTATAACAAGAAGACGAACACAAAGGCAGTAGCAGCACTTGTATATAAAACACTTAATAATGAAGGCCTGTTAGATAAAATCATAAAAAATAGTGAAATACTCATCAATGAGGCTAATGCAAACCCCTGGTTATTTCGAATATTGATAGCAGAACTTCTACTAGGAAAACAGCGATTACCCGTTGGCAGCAAACCTGTCCAGACTGTTCTAGCCTATGGGCCAACACTACGAACAGAACTCTTGAAGGCAACAGGTAAATTCCACAACAAAAGAAATAGATCTAAATCACAACCAGATGTCAAAGAAGAGGATCCAAGGTTTGGGCAGGAATCACCAACACAAATAAGTGTGTCTGAAAGAAGTGAAGATATTAATCCAGAAATGAACACAGTGATGCTTTCTAAAAGTAGGGAGGGAGCAGGTCAAGGTTGCATAAAGTTGGAAGAGGATGAAAATGTAAAATCTAAGTCGAAACAAATAAAGCAAGCTAAGAATAAGCAGAAAAAAAGTTACAAAGGTTCAGAACAGTTACCAAAAGAGGAAAAACTTTCAGGTTCAAAAAGTAAAAAAAGAAAACATACAAGTGTGTGTGAAAGAAGTAAAGATGTGAACCCAAAATGGAACACAGTGGTGCTTTCTAAAAGTAGGTGGGAAGCAATGCAAGATTTTATGAAGTTAGAAGAGGATGAATATGTGAAATCAGAGTCACAACAAATAGAGCAATCTAAAAATAAGCAGCAAAGAAATTACAAAGGTTCAGAACAGTTACCACAAGCTGAAAAAATTCCAGTTTCAAAAAGTAAAAAAAGAAAATGTAACATGGGTCCAGATGAATTGACCCTGAAGGAACCCAAAGTTAAGAAGGCTGTAAAATTACATAAATCACAACATTTTGAATAAAATAGAATGAATGTTCACGTCACATGACCACACCTGTGTTTTACTATGCAAAGTTATTTTCTTTTGTAATCACATGATGACTAATGTCAAATAATTTAGAATTATTTGAATCTTAATGCAATGCATGAGATTTTCATGGTGGTGAGAATTTAAACACAATCTGGGTTTTGACATTGTGTTGTCATGTAGGTGGTTACCTACATTTTGAAGGAACCTGCTCCTTCCAATTCCAGGGTAAAAGCAGTGCTACTAATATCACAGTTTTATGTTACAATGAGATCTTTTTTTTTTAAGTAAAGCAGTCACTGAGCATATGGAGTGACATGGGAAATGCAATTGAAAATAACTTATATCCATCCAGTCTGCACATGCAGAATAAATAAATAAGAAAATTATGGTTTCTGCGTTCATTGTAATAGTACTATGTAACATGGCAGTTCTCCAGACTATATCCTTTTAATGTTTGCAATGTACTGCTGCATCATATGCACCCACAATCTATTGTACTGCAGTCACAAATAAATCAATAGTGTCAGTGATTCTCCCATAAATAATCATTACATTCATAAAAAGTGATATTGTAGGTGCCGTCACTATATGGATTAGTAAGTAAAGTAATAAAGTAAGTAAAGCTGTCCCTGTAACAGGCCATGAAGGCCCATAAGGTTGTGAGACGTTACGGGTCCCACATTATCTAGACAATTGGCTCACAGATGGCGGTAAGGTTGTCAGCCTTACGCGCCGGCCGCACTTTACTCCCCAGCAAAATTATTTAATTCCTGGTACTCATTTCTGTTAGAGGCTGAGTGCCCATAGTGCGGCCGGAAGGATTAGGTCAACTGAAAAAATCCAGTGACCTCGTAGGTATTTGAATTAAAAGGGGTTTGTCTTGAACTACACATGTCCAGGCTCAAGAGAATTTAATTTGCAAAGAATGGAACTGTTAACAATGAAGTCATCTCAGTTCAAGAAGATTTCATTGCATATTGCCAGTATGAAAGCATCAAATCATATAAAATGACTAACTGCGTACCTCCGTGGAGCTCATCCTTTCTTGAGAAGCCTCCAGTTGCACAACTGCTCGAGCATTTCACAACATTTTATGGTCCCTGAAGGTTCATTAAAGTGTTCACAAGAGCCCTCCACCATTCCCTATCCTCAACCACATCAATCCAGTCCATACCACCCTATCATATCACTTTTAAGATCCATTTTAATTTATCCTCCCACCTATGCTGATAAGTTCTTGAGTAGCTGCACAATTGGCGGCTTCTCAAGAAGGGCTCAGCTCAAACTGTTATTTACATATAAAGGAAGAGGTATCATTTCATATATATTTGCTACTGCACAAGGAAATTGCATAGTTCTCGGATATTAGTGGATTCCTGTATTTTTCTGGTGTGTAGTTAATACTGACTGGTTTTAACAAAGCATGACATGCAGTAAATTGCCTATGTGGAACAGGAAAATAGATTTTCATGCAGTGTGCATTCTTATACCATAGATCTGCATTTACGTGAAAGTTATATATATATATACACACCAATACTGACATATTGTATCATACAGTTGACTGCTGGCTGGCATGATGGGAGAGAAACAGCTGACCATGCTGTGTTCTTGGATAGAAGCAGTATATAGGACATAGCATGGCTATATAATTCTGACAACAATTATATATTACTGTACATGCCATTTCAACTCATTCACTGTTGTCTTGATAAAGGACTATTTACATCCATACAAAAATAAAAATACGGAAGACACTGAAGCAAAAATTCTGTTTTCCCGTATCATGCTGCACAGCACGAACATGCAGGCCTATGGAAAGGTTGTAAACCAGTCGGCACCCATCTTCATCCTCATTACTCTCATTACGAGTGTTAAGGTCGGCATCATATCAGTTCAGATTGTGAGCTGTTTAACTGATTGCTAGTATGAGAGTCAGATACTGATATTCACATTCCCTTGCAAATGTGGCAGTACTGACATGCTTTTATGAATGAGGCACAGTTTTGCACAGAAGAGAGTAATCTATATTGATTACTGTATGGCAGTTGTATATTTAAAAGCCAAATTGACTGGATGCATCACTTAAAGGCATAATCTAGCACCATAATGCAGATTGTCATGTATGTTTGTCAGCGTTCTTCCGCATTTTATTCAGTGGCAGATGCTTTGCAATAGTCTGATCACTTGTAAAGGTAGTTCTATCCTTTTGCTAATTAAGGATTTAGAAATCTCAGTGGAGGACATGAAAGCTCAGATAAAGCTGTAAAAAAGGATGACATCATATCTTCATAAGTTGTAGCATGTGGTGCTTACCCAGGTTCAGCAGTGTTGAGGGGATCTTTGGACAGCAGGATATGTATTGTAGGCACCTCTCTCACCACTACAAGTGGATCAAGTTCTTCCAACAGCGGTTCCCAGAATTCTTCAACCCTGCAAGGCATTGACATTCACATGCACTGACATTAGAAATAACAGTGATTAAATTTAGTCATATTCCTGCAGTTGGTGTAGTGACAGGCTACAGGCAGAGCAGTTGTAACATTTTTCACATTACCAAATTATGTCAGTATACCTCAGTCACTGTGCCACAACATTTTGAATTCAAATGTTTTTATACATATAAGAATAGTTTATGAAGATAGGTCAGAGCAGTGAGATGTTGTTAACCCCCTTTTTGTTCTCTAACTGGCCTGCATTAAACTGTTGCTGTTTCAATATCAAACTTCTGTCAGAAAACAAACAACACTGCAGCACATTTTTAAATTACAGTTTATGTTCTGTTTACAATTACCTTATTTTTCATATTTCCTTATACTTGTTACAGTTTACAGTTTTCTAATTAAAACATTTTTAATATTATAATGGATTTGCTCAAAGCTTTTCTAGGCAATGGCTCAGTAAACACGTTCCCACATGCCACAGTGGAAGATGCATGTCAGTGGACGAATGTTATAATTTATTGCTAGGCAACAGTCAGCACACCAATGAACTCACTGGTTAAGAATCCCGTGACTTGTTTTCTGCGTTGTCTGTGCGGAGCCTATATGACAAAGACCCATTGTAGCTTAGATTAGTTACCTGTGTGGATGCAGGGTTGAACACATCCACCGTCACCCTGCAAGTCATAGGAGGCAACAAAAAGGGAAGTCTCAAATCTGGGACAGTAAAATATGGTCATGAGTCCTAAGGGACTCTGACCAGAGAAATACTGCACTAACAAGCATATACAAAAGACAGATCCATCCTCTCATCAGAGAGGGCACCCCACAATAACAAGACCATAACTGTCAAACAGTAATAAATACCTGGTCATAAGCCCCAGACTGGACTTGACACAAAGCCTGACTGTCAGTTGCAATGTGACTTTGACTTGGACTTAGATTAGTGTAGAGTGCAGTGCAGTTCAGAGTCCAAAAGAGTTTTTAGTTGAGTTCCAGGGCAATTGAACAAGAAATGGCAAGAAGATTTCATAGTTCTTTGAAGTGCTAGTTTCTCTGTTGAGATCCTTTGCTAGGAGACAACTAGCGAAGACGCAGAATCTTAGTGTACGTGTGATGGTAAACTGTAAATTGTGTAAATCAGCGATAGCACTGTATTAATTGTAATTAAGAGAGACTGTAACCGAAGCGCAAATAAACCCAATCATCTGAAACAGAACCTGTTAATTTCGTTATGTGTAACCCCGTACAGGTGATAATTTATCTGTCACTCCTGTTATTTATTATTAATTCCTAAAATGGTGATCTGTGAAATTATTTATGAAGTGTAATATAATTAATAAAAATTATATAAATGCAAACATAATGAAGTATGGTATGAAGAACAGTATACACATATGCTATAAATACATACACACAAAATTTTAAGTTACTGAATTATTTAGAATACTGCGGCATATTTAACAGTATTTTAATGGACCATCATGTGGAAAGGTTGAGAAACACTTCCATTACATAGTGCTTGTTCTAGAAAAACTTACTTGCGGTAACAGATCTTGGTAAGTTGGTGTGTTGGTTTGTATCGCCGTTTCATGATCTCCACACAGCTAATGGCTTTACCTATGGCAGCTCCAGACCCACTCCACACAATTGCTTTCTCTTCTTTGAAAGCTTTCATTGCATAACCCAACAGGTTTCGCATTTTGCTGCCTCCACTCACCTTCAAATTTAATATCACAACAAATCTTACAGAACTTTGTAAAACAAAGCAAATATGTATATATAAATGAAAAGAATAAGAAAGTATGTATGAATGCAGTTCATGCACACATGCACACATCTTTACAGTAGTACATGATCTGTTGTGTCACAAGATAACTGAACATTTTAATATCCCAGCACTTTACAGAGGTTGATAGTGTACTAACATAATTGTGTGACTTATGTTTGGATCCAGAATACATTGGATACATACTATGCAGAATATATATGTACCTGTATTAAATAGAAGAAACCTGTCAACTGGACTATTGGCATTCCATCATAAGCATCTGTGCACACACGTAGTTGCACTGGTACAAGTTCCTAACTTATTGAAAGTTCAGAATGAAAGCTTTCACCTGCCCAATGACATGGCAGTCAGGGTACTCTACAACTACCACTTAACACTAATACTGAATAGTTTTTTATAATTTTTCACTACTGAGAAAATTACAGAAAATATGTCTTCAAGATGATTTTAGTTATCAAAATTAGAACTACAATAATAAAACTTTTGAGACAGCTTGATCATTAAAGTGATTGCATATGGACTTATGACTGCACTTTAATTTCTGGCAGGGAGATAGCTTTTTCTCTTCACTGCCATTCTGGATTGTAGAAAGGTTCCTGTCCTGCTGAGAGCTCTCCCTGGGAACACAGCAGCTGATCACTCACCTCAGCTTAATGCTGGAATTAAGAATATGTGGAACTTTACCTGCACTCCCATGCAAGTCTTCACAGCATGGGGTTTAAATACAGGGACAATTTTAAGTTTAAAACTACAAACACAAGTACTATTATGTCTCTAGCCAGTCAAACAGATGACTTTCACTATAATGGACAACACACAAAAACTCTCTTGGCTCTATATGGAATGGTACAGAGAGACTTTAAATTTGTTGACTCATTAATAGCTCTGTGCTTCACAGTGACCAGTGCGCTGCTTGCCACTAGGCACATATGAATTTTGCCAATGAATCAGAATGCCTGGTGGCTGACAGTGTTTGGAATGATGGGAAGTAATTAACTTGTGCATCGCTTGACAGTATTGTTTCATGGCAAGCAGTATGGTTCATGCATGGGAATTTGTTTATGATTTGTCAGCAGTAAGCAGCTGTTATCTGCTCCATTAGCAATTTGTTCTCAGTTACAGTTAGTGAGTAGTGTGGTACGTCATGGTGCTCTATACTTTGGAGCAATTTGTATTTCTGTATGACACCTGTGTGAAATACAGATCTGCTAGAAAGTGCTGGTGAAAATTTCAATGCAAATTTCATAATGCAAGAGTCCCCAGCAGACAAATAATTCATAATTTGGTGAATAAAGTTAGAACAAGAAGGACTCTTAACTGACAAGAACAAAACATAAGCCCCGATAGCTTACTGAGACAAGTCAAATGACAGTGGAGCCAAGCTTGATCACACACTTAGAAAATCACTGAAACACCTAGCTCAAGACACTGAAATGTCAAAGTCTACTGCAAGAGGAGCAACACAATTGTTGAAGCTTAGACCCTGTAAAACGACAATAATCCACACACACCTTGCAGCTACATGATCCAGCTAGCTGGGTTCATTTTTGCAGTTGGTTTCCACAGTCTGTCACCGAAGGGGTGATCAATTCGCAACTGACATTCTTTTCTGGTGAAGCACAGTTTCGCTTGCAGGGATACACAAATATGCAAAATAATTGCTACTGGTGTTCACAGAATCTACATATAACCCATGAAATTCCATTTCATCCCATGAAAGTTGGTGTCTGGTGTATTGTAAGTGCAAGAAGGATTGTTGTACCTGTGTTTTTTAATGAAACAATTCATTGCAAAAGATATCTATGTGTAGAAAGACAGCATTTTCAGCACCTCTTGTGATCTGTGAATTGTAACTACTTCATTACTAATATTATCGGTTGTCACGCATGCTGATTCATCGGCAAAATTCGTACGTGCCTTGCAGCCGGCAGTACACCGGTCACCATGAAGCACAGAGCCATGGAACCTGTCAATAAAGTAAAAATCCTCCCTGTATAATCTGTTATAATTAAACCTTCAATAGGATTTTGTCTTGCTTATGTAGGATCAAATTTACCAAAAACTGTCAAAAACTTTTAACTAATTTCACATTAATGATAAAACAGCATGGTTTATTCATTAGTTTGGTCCAAGAAAATATTTTTAGTCTTTATTATACAATATCTAGTGAAGTAATTGCCAATCATGGTGGTCGCGCAGTTTAAGACATGAAATATCTTTGCCCTCTCGAATATTGGAATCGTGGGTACGAATCCCACTCAAGGCATGGATGTCTGTGTTCATTCTGTCTTTGTGTTAGGTAGCGACCTTGAAATGCGGGCTTCACCCCGTTCAAGGAGTCCTACCGACTGTCTTAGATTATCAAAGTATGTTTATTTTATTAAACGCATAAGGACACAAATGAAAATGATAAGTATTTTTATGCATGAACTTCACTACAAACTGAGTTTTAATTTGCCCTGGCCTGGTCACCATATGCCTGTTAACTGTTTGGTTGTTTGAAATTAAATTTCTACCGACTACAGGCTGGACGATCGAGGGGGTCAGAGTTCGAGTCCCGGTACGGTCATGAATTTTCTCTTCTCCACATCGCCCGGACCCAGCCTCATATCCAATTGGTACCGGGGACTATTTCCCAGAGAAGTAAAGCGGCCGGGGTGTGAAGCTGACAACTCACTTCCAGCTAGTGCTGAGGTCAAGAAAATGTGGATCTATATATCCACTCTTCCATACGCCTTTATGGCGTAGTGCTTAATTAGTTAAGCACAGGCACAACTTCACCTTCTTGCACTTCCTAGTTACATTGGTCGGTACCAAACGCCGTTGAGGATGCACATTTTTAGTTAGTACTCATTCTTGTCAAGAGATGGCATGAACAACAACTTGCACAGTCCTGCCATCTACAGTGGAAAATGGTGTTCGTTACATTAATGTACTATTTGTACCTACAAGTTACGCAATAAAGTACATGGGAAATATGCTGCCCACAATTATAATGAACTTCATATTTGCATACATCAACATATATCAAGCTGATCAGTTCACAGATGATGAGTGGAGTGTGCCGAACACATGGGAGGTACAAGAAATATAGCCAACAATTTAGTCAGATAACCTGAGGGGACGAGACCGTTTCTGAGACCTAGGCATGGATGGGAGAGTAATATTAAATGTGATCTAAAAGAAATATGAGAAAGTAGAACGTTTTATCTGGTTCAGAATAAGTTTTAGTGGTGGGTTCTTGTGACCACAGTATACTAGTACTAGAGAGACTACAGTTTTAAGAGGCACGAATTCTTAACCCTAAGACTGAACAGTGTTGCTGTATTGTAAAATAGGTATTATAAAGCTGAATGTAATTATGAATTACAAATTTATAATTATATTGATAATAATAATTAAATAAATATCCAACGACCTTATGAGATTACCATACTGTGTATGTGAGCGAGCGCGCACGCCCACGTGGTCCTTTCAAATTTTCGACCGGCTGAGCTCTTCATGAAACCAAACATGAATGCTTTGCTATTAGAGGCCACCCCAACATCATATTTAATTTCACAAAATGAAACACAACATGGCACACACGGAACTTGTGAGGTGGTAACGACACTAGCGCCATGGAGCCAGAGAAATTTGCTATGCAGATATATTACAAACGTTCCTACATGTGCAGGGATAGCTCAGTCGGTATAGTGATGGCCTGGACGACCGGGGTTCGATTCCCGCCAGCGACAAGAGGTTTTTCTTTCCCCGGGGGTAAAGCGGCCGGCGATTGAAGATGACCACTCACCTCCATGTGGTGCCAAGTTCAAGAAGAACTGGGGAAATATATCTCCACTTCCCCGTACATTTTCATGGCATGTTGCTTTTTATTATTATTAATCACCTAACTTAACTTAACTTATACTATATTATTTGCAATTACTGATCTTCGGCTTTCATAGTTGTTATTGACGCTAATTCCGCTCTAGGGTTCTTAAACTGTGGTTGTGGGTCCACTCGGCACGGCGGCCACTGATTGGCCTATTGTAGCCTGCCCCGGGTGATTATGATGATGGAGAATTTGGTGGAATGAAGATTGGTAGGAGAAAACGAAGTACTCGGAGAAAACCCGCCCCAGCGCCACTTTGTCCACCACAAATCTCACTTGACCAGCCCCGGGAGAGAACCCAGGCCGCCGCGGTGGGAAGCCAGCGACTAACCGCTTGAGCTATGGCGCGGCCTACCGACTGCGCTATCCCGACTTCCAACACTACATGTGCAGTACACCAAAGAGTCATGAAATTGCTGCAACTGAATTTGTCATAAAATTATTAAATCTCTTAAGACGCTATCTTAGGAGTATATTTTAGCATCCTGTTGCAGTATACACTTCTATATGTAATAATACAAATGCCGTCGTGAATGCAACAATTTATTTGGTTGTAGTTCTTTGTCTTTTCTTCCTCTACACTACATGTTTCGGCCGTAACAGGCCATCATCAGGTGTATTTCTCACTACGTAGCTGTCACACTGCACACAATCTAAAAATCTAAAACACCAGCTTGTCAGTTTTGTTTAAAATCTCGCCAACATACGATCGTCAATTTGATTTTAGAATTCTAATTTAAAATTTAAAATTTTATAACTTTTAAAATTCAAAATTTAAAGTTTTAAATCATAGGGATACCCGCTGTGTGTCCACATGTGCTGCAGCGGTTATTTCTTATTTTCAGCACCGTTCACGTATTATTCTGTGCAGGCTCCCTGTGTGTGTGTCGCTGCTCATCTTTAATACGTTACTGTCTGGTGTGTTGCGTGCTGTGTGCTGCTCCCCACAGCTCTTAGACGCTATGAGTATACCTGCATGACTGGCAGAAACTCACCTGCATCCAAGTAAAGTTAGCAGGAAGAGCCGGGATGGGGATGTTGTCTCGAGTAAGTGGCTCCTCCACATTTTTGCCCTTAGAATAATTTTCCACTGAAACAAAAAATTACAACTTCTCTTTTGTACACTGTCATAGTTCAAGGTCTCTGGTACTGTTGTTTTCTTTATCATAATATTGTCACATGTATGAATGTGACTATAGACGGAATTTAGATTCGTAACTGGATTCTTTGAACACTTACAGAACGTAACTACAAATGAGGATTATGCTCTCTCTGTTCTACAAACTTCACAAATCACTGTAACCACAACACACATAAAGTCTTCTCAGTTTGCTATGTTTTCACCACTCGTTGTCTGGTGATTGATTCTAACAGCGTCCTCTACTTCCGTGCTCACGTTCTGAGAACTCACTACTCCAACTGCACTGCTTCTAACATCTCAGCAAGGACCGCACAGAAAACACAGTTCCTCTGCCGCCGTTTCCAATTGCTGCCAAAACAAACATGCTTTTCTGCGAAGCCGTTTCTCAATAACTTAATGTGTAATATTTGGAGTGTGTGATTCAGTGACACTGTTATAGCTCCAGTGTTTTAATTGCGTTACCAGGAGAGTATCAGCATGTGTAAATCAGCGATAGCGCTGTATCTAAGCGTGATTAAGAAAACTTGAAACCAAGGTGCTAATAAAACCAATCATCCGAACTAGAACCCGTCATTTTCGTCACGCGTACCACCCTACACGTGACAATACTCGTACCATTCGACACTATATAATTGAGTAACTTAAAGCGCCGTTGAATGAACCTTACATAAATAAAAACAAGCAATGTACGAATTAACATTAGACAATCACTTGTGTTTCTAATGGTTTAATTACGCAATAACACAACATGATTTTGCAAACTCAGCTGTCGAATTCACAAGGTGTTACAATAATGGGTTATAACAGGCAGATGAAAGAGAGCCTAATTATATTAACGGCGTTGATTCAACGATTAGGAAGAAATAGGTTCATCCATTCTGATTACTGATGCAATAAGGAGGTCATTATGACCACGCAACTTCTCTTGAACTCTGCGATGAATCTTCATATTTCTGAATGAAGATCGCTATAGAAATTGAGGGCGGGAAGCTTCCGCCTGGAATATGCGGAGCTCATACCGACAATAGCGAAGGCGATTCGTGTCGGAATGCTAGGAATTGCAGAAGCTGCAGCAGTCATGACGACGCCCCAGCAGCACGTCGAGACGCTGCATTATTGTCATTAGAAGGGAGCGCTGACGGCAGGCATTCCAACACTCCACACCACAAACGGACTCAACTTTATAGGTCGGCGTTTCGGATGATGCCGGCTGGAACTCTATTTCAATTCGAAAGTGGGTAGAGTGAAAACCTGCCGCTATCATAACATGTCCCTGAGAACAAGGGACTGAAAACCGCGGTGAAATGGTTATTATCGCCGCTTCGTATGCGAGAGGTCGCTGATTCAAATATCTCAGGTTTTTCCTGGTTGTATCTCCCCAGTCAAATTCCAGAAGAGTACCTTAAATTAGACAACTATCGCTTTCGTCCGCGGGGGGGGGGGCACGACGTAGCGTAGTTGGTTGAGGCACTATGCTACAAGCCGGAAGGTCGCGGGATCGAATCCCGATGAGGTCATTGGATTTATCAATTTACCTAATCCTTCCAGCCGCACTATGGCCCTAGGGTCGATTCAGCCTCTAAGAGAAATGAGTACCAGGAATTTCTTGGGGGGTAAAGGGCGACCGGCGCGTAAGGCTCACCTTACCGCCATCTATGAGCAGAATGTCTAGAAGATGTGCGAGCCTCGACATCTCACACCCCTATGGGCCTTCGCGGCCTGTTCCAGGGACAGCTTTACCTTTTTTACCGCTTTCCTCCACACTCTTCCCGATGTGATAATCAGTTACTTTGTCCCACCATGCAATACTATATAAGCTGAGTTATTGAAAACGTCATTAAACAAACGAAGGCTAAAAACAGGAATTGCCCCGAAAGCATAAGATGAAGACTAAACTAAAATAACTTATAACAAACGGAAAACGTCAATGGGGAAACGAACAGGTGAAACAAGAATGTGCCCGGAAATGTTACGCCTGAATACGTGGAACAACATCATGAACGTATAATTTTATTCCATACTGTGTTTCCTGGAACTGTCTACGAGAGAACATTCCTGCCGCAGATGGGAAAGAATTTAGCCCAGTCTTCGGCAAATAGTATGTGCAGAATACCTTAACGGACAGTAATAAGTACAAAAGGAAAGAAGGTAGGAGGGCGGGAAAGAAAAAGAAAGATAATAAACAATTTAAATGGTGCACTGCTGACATTTCCGGCTTGCTGTTTGGCTAAACCTATCCAAATTGGTGACATATCTATAGATTCTAAATTCACAACTCGGTTATGGAGCCAACTAGGAACAGCTGTCAAAACTAATCTTCAAACACGAACCCAATTTTGTGGCGAAATTAGTGTTGTGCCCTGACATAAGAGAGCCCGGATACCGCAGCCGGTATAACGCCTGGGTACGAGCTGGACGACAAAGGGGTCCGAGTTCGAGTTCCGGTGAGGATAAGGATTTTCACTTCTTCATGTCGTCCAGATCGGCTGTGGGGCCCAACCTTCCTCCTACCCAATGGGTACCGGGGGCTCTTTCTCCGGGTATAAAGCAGCCGGGGCGTGAAGCTGACCAATCATCTCAAACTGGTGCCGAGGTCAAGAAAACGTGGGTCTATATATCCACTATCCCCATACGCCTTCACGTTGTAGGGTTTAATTAGTTAAGTACAGGGACAACTTTACTTTTTACTTTTATGCTGACGTAAGACATCACAAAACTGGAAATATTTTCTCTGCACAAACACAAGCACTGTTTAACGGAAACCTGTTCAACACAGAAAGATTATTCAGGAAGATGTTACAGCTAGCAATGAATGCGTACTAGAAATTCAATTGTCAGTTCACTCAGAATTGGAAGGAGATATAAAGAGTTCGAGGTATTTTCTAACCGAAGAGTTTAAAAATGTATCCATCGATTTGTGCACATGTAATAAGAAGTTACTTATATCTGGAAATGCAATATTCCCTCGTAAGTTGTTCAAAACAAGTCCAAAAAATTAAACTGGAGCTTAAAAACTACTTTAGTTCCTGCTTTGAGAGGCACACAAGGCACAGAAAAGGAAAATGTAAAGAGAGAAACATTAGTATTGTATTTCATCATCCTGTTGCACTGTGGCATCATTTTTAGATCGTAAGTATACCGTCTATAATGCAACAATAACCTTACATAAATTACAATAAAAGTGCTTGTTAAATACTTTAAAATGTAACTAACGTTATACATTCACATTATACATTTTAAAGTATTTAACAAGCACTTTTAGTTAGACTTGAAAGGATTCTGACGATGGTGTATACTGTACTTCTTTTGGCTTATTTTGGACTTCACCCATCGTCTGGTATGTAAAAGACAAAAAACCACGACGTTTCAGAGACTGGATCTGTCTCCGTCTTCAGGTGAATAGGGAAGGATAAACCTACTCAGTTGGGCCCCTTAGAAAGAGCTAGTCTCAATCACTGGACCAGTGAAACGTCGTGGTTTTTTGTCTTTTACATACCAGACGATGGGTGAAGTCCAAAATAAGCCAAAAGAAGTAAAGCACTTTTAGTGTGTTAAATATATTTTCAGTCTTTTATATAACGTCATTGCTGCATTATAGGCGGTATGCTTATGACGTAAAAAAGAACATTAGACCTATAATGTTATGTCAGATTTATTGTTCTTAAGGCGGCGATTATGAAAGGTTTTTAACTTCTAGGATGCGATGCATGTAGTGCGCTAGAAGTTGACCCACGTTTCAGGAAGAAAGTCAGTAAATTTCTACTACATTACATGGTGTCATGTCTCTTACAGTCTGAATATATAACATATTATGAGTTACATAACGACGCTGTCAGTATGAACCTGTCACACCAAAAACATGCTACTTCGATGAGATTTCGAAGCTATCACAAAGTCGATAGAAAGTCCGTCCAGTGTAACAACACACAGCACACTGGAAACATCTAACCATAAGCCATACAACCTCAAGCTGACACCTCCCATCTTCGGGATGAATCAACAAGGAGGAGCTTAACATTTTACATCAAATGTTTTAAATTTTTAAATATTTTAACATTGACGTTTTTAACTTGAGGGAAGTTTCGGATGGAATGTGAGAATTGATAGTGCATTCAACAATCCTAGCAAGTGTTGTGCTTTTACACGTCGACATATTGTAGCAGCGTCCACGCAGCAAACATAACTGTGTACATCTTAAACAACGACAGTGTTTTCATGATTATACTATGTGCCTCTGATGATGGTTGTATTAAACCGAAACATGTAAGGCAGAAGTGATAAAGCAGTGACCTACAAATTGTTACACTGGACGGACTTTCTATCGACTTTGTGATTGATAGTGTAACGGACCAAAAATGAAACAATTCAAAATTTCGAAGCTATGTTTCTTAGAACTTGCCGCCTTTTGTTTCATACAGAACCTCACCAAAGATATTGGCAAGCCTATAAGAAACAAAAGGTGGCGACTTCAGGAACGCAAGGTCAAAGTCACGAAAAAGAACTACCTTTTTTGGTTGGAAGTCGGCTTCGGCCTACACACTTCAAGTGAACTGTTTAGTGGTGCATGGGCTCTGCTTTCCAAATAAGAGTTTCAATTCCACTTTCCAATGTAAACGCAAGTGTTCTCGGTGAACCGTTTAATGAATGATCCTTGTTCTTTGTGTGTTGCGGACTAGGAACTAATTCAACCTAAGTTAATCAGTAACATGTGACTATAAAACTACGCCCCTATGCTTTAAAAGGTTGTTGTGCTTTATACTGTCAGGTATAGGGGTGACTTATAAGACGGGGTTTGGATTGGATAATTGGATTTATTGCACCTTACACAGTGCGTTCAGGTTCTGTTAGGGCTGTGTTCATTAAAAATAGAAGACTTAAATCATTTTCAAAATTTCACTCCTTTTATTCAAAATAGTCTCCTTCTGAAACAATACATAGCTGGAATCGAT